TAAATCAAAGAGGTTTAGCTGATTTAAGGTTCTTTTTGCTATGCTTATAATGGTTTTAGTGGAGGGAAAAATATTTCTAATCAAAGTTTATGTTAACAGTGACATAGGATTCCAATTTGATAAGATGAAATGGATTAGTCCGTTGGTGCCATTGCCATTGCCAGAGACATTATAAAGAAAAATACATCACTCTCTGATATAGATTAAGAAAACATGGTGACAATTACTGGAATAAAACCAAACCCCATTCATATTTTGATTAAACAAAATATCTATAAAACAATGACCATTTGTAATCATTTTACATTTCATTCAACAAATTATCATCATTGACTAAGTCATGAATATTTGACCATATTAATTAACAAATCAATAAGTATAGTATCGTGTCAACATGAGGCAAAACTAATGGTTGTCGTTGCCAATAAACTGTAGTGCAGTTTGTACTAAACTCTTCATTGATCATTTCCTATAACAGTTTAACAATTGAGTGAGGTCTGTATAATAATTATAGTCACAGAATGTCAGTGTATTATTATTTGATTGCTTCCTGCACTGAGTTGGTTGTAAAATAGTTTCTGTATGATCAGCCAGTCAGTACCGGATCTAGGGAGGGCAAATTAGGGCAATGTCCTGGGTCCCCCACATTTTGGGTTCAGTAAAAGATCAAAAGTTCCATGAGATGACTTCAAGATTCTAATTTGGATTTGAAAATCTGTAGGACACAAATGCTTCTGAATTGATAGGTTGACTGGGGTTTGTAACTTAATCCTTTTATTAGTGACTGTTAAAATGGACTGGCTGGAATTCGTACCTTGATTAAAGTTTGAAACTTACATTGTAATGTTCTAATAAAAAAAAAATGTGCAATATTTCTATTTTTATTTAACTTGTGTTGCTCACCCAGAATAGGCCAATACCTCAGAATCAAATCTATTTTTGAAAATGTTCTAGACCCCTCCGTACATTATTCTATTTTTCAGAGTGAATACATATTCAATTGTCCATGTATCACTAATTAATAACTTGGAGGAATAAAGTGCCAAGTAGTTGAGAAACAATAGAATCTAGGCCATACATATTGATGGTCATGTATGAATGTATGTATTGTCTATGTATTATTAAATGTATATGACTATGTCTAACTTGTGTATATGTACATGTATGCATACTGTCCATAACTTACGTTTTGATGCAATAACCATCTTATGTTATCTCTATTCAATAGGATAGTGTCCATGTCATTTAGAGACTAATGAAAGTTATTACTAAAAACATGTTATGAATGCAACTAGTATAATAAGATACTTCCAGGTATATTGTTTGAATGAAATTATTTACATGACCAAATGTAAACATTTGTTAGATTCAACAAGTTTGTAGATGACCATAATATAGAATGTTATACTCCAATTTAAACGAATATTTATCATTTTAATAATTTTTTGCCTAGAATGGGTCTTTTGTGTGTTTGCCCTAAACTCTCTGATCTTTTTATCCTCTATTTCTGGCATGTTGAGTTTATGTTTTGTTGACAGTGTTGCAATTTAGAACAAATGAGAATACTCCAGACTTTAGTAAGCCATGTTTTGTATATCATAACTTTCATGGGAATAACTTCTGTTAATCTCATCAATTATTTAGCACCTTTAGTTGTCAAGAGATTGAAATTGTTTATTGGGTAATCAAAGAAGCGGCCACAATTATACGTGTGTTCTGTCTTCGTCACATGACTGAACTAAACTAAGGTTTTGTGTGTACACGTTATAGGTATCAGAATCTGAATTCACTGAAAGAATGATAAAAATTTCAATTTCATTTGTAAGAGATACTTATGTTCACTTTAAGGCCTCTTGGTATAGTGAAACAAACGGCAGAGAATTTTCTCACTTGAGATTTGTCGCTTTTTCAACTTTTTTGTCGTTCTAATTTTTCCGAACCTTGCTGATAATAAAATCCACTTGGATTTATTATTCAGGGTAAATAATGACTTGAGAAAGGTTTAATAATCATTGACAATTATCAATCAATGACTCATTAATCCATGACAATTGATTAGTATTTTTCAATGGCAAGTTTATATGGTTTAACCGAGTTGATTAATTTATAATATGCCATGTGGGATGTCTGGGCGAATCAGCGAACGAGTTACGCTGACCTGACTTGAAACAGGCTAAGGGTGTTTACGTTTTATACGCCCACATGGAACACTCCAAAAGTTATTATCCGTTTGTTTTAAAATTGATATATTATGTGGTTTACATTAGTGAGATGAAAAAGCCTATTTAATTTCAATAATTTCTGTTTATTATGTCTATAGTTATGGCCCTTGTTTCACTTTGTTGAACATTGTGAACGCTATTACGCCAAAAGTTATTATCCAATCTTTGTGAAAGTTATATTCATTATTATTATTTAAATTAGTGAAACAAAGAAGCCTATTGAATTTCAGCAATTTCTGTTTATTATGTCTAGAGTTATGGCCCTTGTTTCACTTTATTGAACCTTGTGAACGCTCAAACACCAAAAGTTATCATGTGATCTTTCTGAAATTTATATGCATTATTTAAATTATTGAAACGAAGGAGCCTATTGAATTTCATTAATTTCCGTTTATTATGTCAAGAGTTATGGCCCTTGTTTCACTTTATTGAATCTTGTGAAAGCTCTAATGCCAAAAGTTATCATCCGATCTTTGTGAAATTTATATGCATTATTTAACTTAGTGAAACAAAGAAGCCTATTGAATTTCAGCAATTTCCGTTTATTACGTTTAGAGTTATGGCCCTTGTTTCACGTTATTGAACCTTGTGAACGCTGTCAAAAGTTATCATCCGATCTTTGTGAAATTTATATGCATTATTTAACTTCGTGAAACAAAGAAGCCTATTGAATTTCAGCAATTTCCGTTTATTACGTCTAGAGTTATGGCCCTTGTTTCACGTTATTGAACCTTGTGAACGCTGTCAAAAGTTATCATCCAATCTTTGTGAAATTTATATGCATTATCTAAATTAGTGAAACGATGAAGCCTATTGAATTTCAGCAATTTCCATTTATTACATCTAGGGTTATGTCCCTTGTTTCACTTTATTGAACCTTGTGAACACTCTAACGTCAAAAGTTATCATTCGATCTTTCTGAAATTTATATGCATTATTTAAATTGTGAAACCACGAAGCCTATTGAATTTCAACAATTTACAATAATTATCTAGAGTTATGGCCCTTGTTTCCTTTTGTTCAACCTTGTTAATGCTCGATTGATGAAAGTTATTATCCGATATTTATGAAATTTATATGCATCATTAAAATTTGTGAAACAGAGGTCTACAAAAGTGATAATCCAATCTGTATGAAATTTATGTGCATTATTTAAATTAGTAAAACGAAAAAGCCTGTCAAATTTCAACAATTTCTGTAAATTACTTCCAAAGTTGAGGCCCTTGTTTCAGTTTGTAAAGCCTTGTGAACCCTCAAACCACAAAAATTATAATCTGATCTGTATGGAACTGTCTTGTAAAGGCCCCCAATTACCTACAAAGGAATAAATATGCTACAACCCTTGTCGACCATTCGGACGATTTAGCTGCTGTGGGCGTATGTTTCGTTGCCTGGCAACCTATCTTTAAACTTGTTTGTACTCGATGAAAATGATATCATCAGTAGTACTTCAGTCATATTATAAACTAGAGATGTAACGCTTCACAACAATGCAAGTATTACGCAAGGGGATTAACTGATCATCCCACATCAAGCGAAGAAAAATACCTAATTCGTTGAGAATTTTAAGAAAAAAGGAAAATTTATGAATACGGTACTCTCACAAAACATCCAAATAAAGGTGGTTCAAAATGTTTTATTGCTATTTTGATCTTTTAAGTTATCTGTAGTTCAATATCAGAATTTGTGCATTCCGACTCATTTAGCCAGCATGTGTCACATATGTGTGTAACATTTGGTGTATCATCAATGAATTTAATAGTAATATTAGGTAAAAAATGGTAAAATGGAATATGGTTTTAGCCGTTAAAGTTGCTGCTGTATAAATGTTAGGATGCAGTACAACCTAATGTTATTGTTTTTGTTGGGATAGAACATATTCCCTATTGTTTTTGTTGGGATATAACCTATTGACCTAATGTTATTGTTTTTGTTAGGATACGTACATTGACCTAATGTTATTGTTTTTGTTGGGATACAACCTATTGACCTAATGTTATTGTTTTTTGTTGGGATACAACCTAGTGACCTAATGTTATTGTTTTTGTAAGGATACAACCTGTTAACCTAATGTTATTGTTGTTGTTGGGATACAACCTATTGACCTAATGTAATTATTTTTGTTGGGTACAACCTAGTGACCTAATGTTATTGTTTTTGTTGGGATACAACCTATTGACCTAATATAATTGTTTTTGTTGGATACAACCTAGTGACCTAATATTATTGTTTCTGTTGATATACAAAGAGCTAGAATAAATATTCTTGACTATGTCTGCTGGGGTTCTTTCTTTTCTTATATCTCTTTGCCAGGAATGATATGCATGTTTCTACATAATGGTAAGAAATCATAACTACATTAGTGACAATATTGCGAAAACAGAAAGAGTGCCAAAAACTGTAGTTTATACCCCCCACCCACCCCTTTTCAAAAATTTAGTATCTGCCCCTGCATTTATTGTTTTTCACATGACTCCAAGGTTAGGCTAAGAATACATGACTCAAGAATTTATTTAGCATTGAGGCATACCAAATATTCTCAAAATATATCTGTGTAATACAGAACCAAGAGTTTCATTCGTGACCATTTTCATAAGAGTCAGGAATTGTTTTCTTCACTATATCTAATAGTATGTACAAGAGGACCACATCACACACAAATAAAACACTAAAGACATCTGTGGACAAGACACAAACTACACTGACATAGTAAAATATTAATGTATAAAATTATAGCAATATTTGCCAACAATTTATAAATATATGGATTATACTTACACAGTGAAATGGTAAACAAAACACTTCCATCCCGTAGGTCTCTCCAAAAAGTTGTACATTTTATTCTGTAACGTGGCACGGACATTATTCTTTAATCTTTGTCGATGTTGTGTCTCTATAAATTTGTCCATTTGAGATATGACGGGTTTATACTCATCCCAAGCGACAGCAGACGGGTTGATGGGCTCCGAATCGGAGGGGTTACGACAACGTGGTGATCCCATCTCACTCATTTCCATATCAGTCTATTGAAATTATGTGGCTATCAAATAGAATAGTTGATTGAAGGGGGAATCTTATTGGTTGACTATAATCCCCATGGTAGGCCATTGAGAATAAAGCTGATATATTTCACACTTAACACATAGAATAGTAAAGTCAAAACTCGAGGGAGGGAACAGCTTGCGTGAGATGAGAATCCAATACCATGAACAAACTATATGATGTCATTACTGATTCCAACCTTCCGTAAGCCGTTTATTCCTGCAAATTTCTGCTGACAATTATCAAAATTATAGTGAAATCAGGCTGTTAGGTGTTTATTGAAAACACTTTCTGTCGCTAGATCTTTTTAATTTACACATCCAGTTCACAGGAATCATTTTTTTGTTTCTAGCCTCAAACACAACATATACACACATGATAGAAAAGTGATCAATATTGGAAACAGTAATCACTGAACATAATAACTGGAGGATGTGGAGTACGTATTAACCTCACTTTTAATTTTCTATATTTGGTGGTTGTAGATATTTAACAGCTGTAATAAAGAATGTAAAAGATAATCAATTGTTTCTACCATCAGTAGATAATATATTTACCTCGTTAACATATCTATATTTTGATGACAACTGTGTAAATTCACATATTTCACAAACATTCAAATCAATATATTATTATTGTAAATATCGTAAATCTATTTTTCATTGAGAAAGATTCGGTTTGTGGAAATAAAGTATACACAGTCATCTCATTGTTCATTTTATATGAAGTAATTAATCCTCCATTTTGACGTGTCATGGTGGCTAAGTGGGTAAGATGCTGGCTTGCTAGCCTGGAGGTCGGGTGTTTGATCCCTGCATTGGCCGGGAAAGTTCATCCAGATTTTCCGGCGTGGTTCCCCCTTGTTAGTGATGCAGGATTGAGGGCCTGACAAGGACAGCTGTCTAGTCATTCGGATGGGACGAAAAACCAAGGTCCCGTGTACACATTGGCAAGCACGTAAAAAGATCCCTTGACAGTTGGAATTTGATATATGAGTAGGCTGTAGTGCTGTCCGGGCAAACTTTCTCTCATAGCACACTGTATGGCATATGCCCGTCTTCATTAGCCCAGTTGGGAGCAGTAGGATGTTAAACCCCATTTCATTTCATCCCTCATTTTAATAGTACCACTCCAATTATAATTTTGAACAATAATGATTACTATGTGTGAAAGATGTAGAATAAATGATGTACTTTTAATACATAATATACTAAATACAGAATTTACAAAATATTTTAACTAACCCTCATTAAATTATTAACCTTAAGAAATAAAATAAAAATTAAGTGCTAATGATTAAATCATCTGTAACCAAAACAATATCTTTTGTTATATATTAATGTAAAAGTTATGTAGTAGTGTCTGCTATTGTTACCTATCCTGTCAGCGAAGATGGGTTAATCAAAAGTTATGCAGGCGAGGATATTGTCTTCATCCTAATCTAATTCATTTGAAAGCAATTGAAAAGAAAAGATAAAACTAAGTCAATTAAGACTTACCTCTATACGGGGCTAATACACTTGTAAGTCTTTGTGATTCCTTCTTTATCTACACTCTTATTGATCACCATTACAAGATGGAAGCCACATTGTCTTGTGAGCACTGAGCTGCCAATCCACTTATGGTCCAGATGTTAGCACATCAAACTGTTGACTAGGAAAGTATCTTTACCATCTCTCTGACTTCAGCAACAGATAACCTGAAAAAACACATTACTACAACTGAACATCTAGATTTAGCCACCTGGAGAAATGGGTTTATAAATACAATAGGTTAATCAGTAGGCATGTTTCGTAGGAAACAACTTTGTTCAATATCACCCATGACGAGTAGTAGTACGGTAGTAGAGATATGTTATGTTCTACCTGTCCCATGATGCCAACAACCTGTATATAAATACCTTTCTACACTTGATGATAAACAAAGCACACTTTTAACCATCATGGAACCATTAACAGCTTCAGCTAGTCCTCTGTATTATAGAGTTAAAAACTCTCTTGAATTTAATAATTATTTGTATAACTAAATGTATGTCGGTGCTTTAGCGCAGTCAAATACGCTATTTCTAAAGCTAAATTGTGCGAGTTGGTAATAGGAGCAAACACAAGACACCAAAATATGACAAGAGTAACAAACCATGAAGAAATGATCAGAAATAATTAAAATTTGATTGGCTTGTAGTTTTTCCTAGAGCGTATATTACATCAAACATGTTGCTGTAAATCAGATGAACTTTTATTGTTCAAGTATAAAGAGTAATACAAGTAACCAGATGGGGTTTTGTATTTTAATCATTAGTTATGCATATGTTAATAATCAATTGTTGTAATATCTGCAAGTGTTTGCTGTAAGGGTAGGCAGTAATATTGGCACAATCTTCAAATCCTTATTGTTCAATCAGAGGATAAAATGTAATTTTGTGACAGATATTAATTTGCATTGAAAATATTCTCTGTACTTATGGAAAATGGGAGCCACGGTGATTAGGTGGTTAAGACGCTGTCTCGCTAGCCTGGAGGCTGGGTGTTCTATCCCTGCATTAGCCGAGAAAGTTCATCTGGATTTTCCGACATGGTTTCCCCTTGTCAGTGGTGCAGAACAGAGGGCACAAGGACAGCTGTCTAGTCCTTCAGGTGAGATGAAAAACCAAGATCCCGTGTATACATTGGAATGCACGTAAAAGATCTCTTGGCAGTTGGAATTCGATATAAGAGTAGGCAATAGTGCCGCTGCCCGGGCAAAATTTCCCTCATAGCACACTGTATGACGTATGCCCGTCTTCATTAGCCCAGTATAGGAGCAGAACAGTAGGACGTTAAACTCCATTTCATTTCATTTCATTTCTTATGGAAAATGTGTCACCACTGTCAATAAAATGTATCTAAAACTGTTGTGTTCTTGAATTATACACCATGTTGTGATGTATTTTAGTCTATTATGTCTGTAGATTTATATATATGGATCATAGTAAAGTTCAGTAACTTTGTATAAAGGCAATTTGATTTTTCTCTGTCTCAGTTGAAAAAAAAAGAAGACGAAAATACTTGTAATCCTGGCCATTATAAGAATTCCAAAAAAATCGTGGTTAAGCAGGGAACACCTAATTAACTATTGGAGGAGTGATAATTTCATTAAAACTTCTATTAAGAATATGGTGAATGGATCTTGAAGAGCTTGTGTCAATTTGCACAGTTCTAGAATTTACAAAGTAATCTGTGATACAGGAACCATTGAGATTACTGGTATACAGTGTCATAATAGACTGTAGTAGAAGTTAAGACTATTATTAACTAAATTCATAGTCTTAATTCTGCTTATCTTCTGGACAGAAAGATACTAGAATTTTATTAATGAAACTAAAATAGATTTACATATTCCAATATTAAATATTCTTCAAAAATGTTTTTTTAATCAGACTGTAGTGTATTGTGTTATAAATATGACATGCTTTACTGTATTGTATTGTGTTATAATATAATTTAACTTGTTTCATTCACTGTGCAGGGGCGGATCCAGGATTTTCAGAAGGGGGGGGGGCGTACTGCCCGCACTTGGGAGTGCAAAGCCCGGCCCTCGGTGGGCAGACTGATAGGCAATCAACCAAGGACTCAGGGACCGCCGACTTACGACAGGGATCACTTCCATTTTTAAGTATTTTTGTTCTTCTTTCCCGCGAGAATATATGGGGCAAAAAAATATAGAGGTTGGGGGCGTGTGCCGAGTGTGCACCCCCCCCCCCTGAATCCACGCCTGCTGTGATCTGTAGACAAATCAAGCCATATAAATACAGTAGGCTAGAAAATATGTGAGGAGGAAAATGTAATCATATGCTGTTTGTTCATGACACCCACCACATTATTTCAATCTAGTTAATATTGAGTATCCATCCATTAACCATTTCATACAGAGTTTGAAAGAAACTGGTTGGGTGGAATGATTAATGTACCAAAACCATACTTTATCATAAATGGGATCACTTTAACATCTATGTGTTGTAGCAATATAGAGAAGCTTTTTTGATCAATATTGTAAATTATAAAACAAGAGATAGAGATATTGTGGCAAATATTGCTATATGTCTGCTTGATATTAAAGAGAATAGCATCGGAAGAATCTAGACTAAAATATACAATGGTATACTAGGTATTTCTAATAGATAAATAAGAGATATAGCAAAATCAATTTCTATCAATCTTTCAGTAATTTACTCCTATTCCAAGTTTCATGGCTATACAGTATCATACAGACATGTAGAAAACAAATATTTAAGAACACTTCAATCGATGATATATTGAATGAAATCTTATTGAAAATTGGTGAGCAGTAATACCTTGGGTACAATCAACCCTCCAGTTCTATTCAATAGACGACTAGTCCTGTGTTTGGATCTGATCATCTAAAGGCAGACAAGATTTGAACATCATAAACTAATATGATTACAAGGTCAATATGCTGACTTCTAGTCAGCACAAAGCTAATTTCTACTGATTAATGTAATAACAATCCTGCATTTCTTATAAGATTAATTAATTTTAACGAAGATATCGAAGGATATGCCAGATTCATTGATATCTCACAGAATAAACATGCCCTGTCTATATTGTCTGATTTATACATTTTACAAAATGAAATCTGACATATCCATCTATGCACTAGTTTGTCTCCAGATAAAGATATTCACAATTTTATCTTTCCACCAAATAAAATATATATATTTTTTTGTAAAAATAATTTGGTTTGAACACTAATGTTGTTTAATGGAACCTACGTATGATATCTAATATTTAGGGAACCTCCTCACATGTCCTACCATGAAGTTATTTAAAAATCCATTATACTTCAAATAGCAACAGGACTGTATAGTTCAAAGGTTCGACAGTACAAACGTCCCAGAGTCCAAAACAACTTTTTTGAACAAATCCAAATTGTTCCATTTGATGAATTACCAAAATAACTTAGTTTTGTTCAAAATTAATATGGGGGTATATTTTGGGAAAGGTTTTGTTAGCTTGCGGAATGAATTTATAAAGCACCTGTTAATTATTTGCAAGAAAATGACAGCATTTACTTACTTACATTTATTTTACGAGCATCTCTGATTAATTACAAATATTTTATCTCCAAATGAGCTTACTTATTGAAATATAGAAAGACAATCAGATAAAGACATCAATTCAAATAGGAAATTTAAGCTAAAAAATAGATGAGGAAAAATTGGGTTGTTTGTATAATTCAAACGACCATGAAGCAGTATATTTTTAAAGAACCTTGTTGGGCAGAGAGCAGATCAATTGTAACATTAAATAGCATGATTACATGTTCTGTTTATGATTCCAATCTATAACAAGAATATCTTAATGTTAAAGGTAAAAACACTGATGGTATAATTACTATTGCAGATCTATAATATTATTTTATATATTCACAAAGAAGCTAATCAATTACATACTTCATCTCTATTTTAAGATATAGATGCAGTTAAATTGGAATTTTTGAATATGTAGGCATGTATAAACCTAATTGGCTTTGTCATGATAACGGTTCAATGTCGAATTGTCTAGATTACCATCCAGACTATAAGGACACAAATTTCTCATAGCAAAGATGAAGGAAGTTGTTTAAGTATTGCTAGCTGGAACTAACAGGAAGTTTTCAAAGAGCGAGAGAGAAATGGGGTTTAACGTCCACTCGACACAAACCAGGTCATTTCGGGACTAACATGGTTTAATTTTCTTTATTTCAATAATTCGCTTGCACGTAGGGGTCTTTAGCAGTGGGAGAAAACCGGAGGACCTACAAGGTTGGACAGGCGACCTACTCCTTGTCATGTACAACCGGGGAATCGAAACCCCGCCAATTGACTCAATGACAGACCGTATGATACAGCGCGCGTGCTAACCATTCGGCCATCCAACCCCCCGGAAGTTTTCAAAAGTTGCCAGTTTCTTCTGTAAGGAACCTAGACATGATCATTTTTTGTGATGTTAAACTGGAATGAACTAGATTTTATTCAGTGTTACAAAATACAGATGTCAAATCATACAACCAAATTCCTCCAATTTACTTTAGATTTGATGAACTTTGAAATATAGTTTCATTAGTTCCCTTTGTTCAATATTATTACTTTGTATTATTCATGTATGTAAATGTACCATAATTGGCCAATACATGAATTGCCACTTACAATTCATCAATATATTATAAATATATATATGAACTTATTATGTTACTAGCAATCCCATATATTATGTAATCATTTAGAAATTTAAATTAAAAATAACAATAGGCTGATGAAACCCACATAACTGAATCAGTCTGTTATTGTAGAATTAGACAACATTTATGGAGAATTTACTATTGATAGCATGCAAGTAGAGAATATCATAGACATGATCATAATGGCTGTCATCAAGCAATTTAACCAAATTTCTCCTTTTCAGACAAGTGGTATTTCAATGAAGTAGCTTTAAAACCAATTAAGTCAATGATGAAGTTATGTATGGAATAATGGCATTATATTCTAACACTATAATTGATTTCATAGACTAATTCTCTATAAATAACATTCATTGTTTACTTTTACAAACCAAAATACACAAAAAAACTAGCCTTCTTCAGTAATAGATTTTGAAATGAATATATGGTAGATTCTGGTGAGTAATTTTGAATACAACATGCAAGTTAAATATTTCGTATGAAATATAATTGTCAGCAATTGTGACTCATAACCAGGTTGTCCATGGTTCCATTGGGATTTTCCAGCCTGGTTTCCTTGTTGTCAGTCGTGCAGGATGGGAGACATGTCAAGGAAAAATGGGCTGAAAAATCAAGGTCCTGTGTAAAAAGTTCCCTGACAGTTTGAAACCTATATTTCCCATCATAGCACACTGCATGGCGTGTGCCAATGTTAATAAGTATGGTTGGTTCAGAAAAGTAGGATGTTAAACCCCATTTCATTTCAAACTTAACTTTAGATTTTGTTTTTTTATAGCTCTTTTAAACTTATAATTAGACCTTGGCGTCATGCATTTACTTCTGATAATGTTTTTCTGCTTTATTTCTGTACTAAGAGGTCGATAATGTCAGGACCTGATGAATACCTTCCTTCTATATTTAATTGATTTTTGTCTGTGAAGGAAAGTAAAACCGTGACCAATTACACGCTTTAAAAAAAATCCTGATGTCAATCTGAATATATTGCAGAAGAATGGGTTTTTAGTTAAAATCAGCATTTTCAAATTATAGGCAAGTTTGATGTGCTTAACTAAAACTGAAATTATTATTTCTTACAGTATAAAATTGAAGCGCCATAGACATAACACTGTTATTAACGGCTGGATTAAAGAATTGCAGGGTCCTAGACCAACATCTGCATGGTAGAGAAAAAATCTGACAATGGGAGTAATAAAACACCTAAACACATAGCTATATAGTACTTCTGTATTTGCTGTTATTTTATTTTCGATGTGATGATGTTTCTTTTATGGAGTCAGTGTGTATAATGGATCCTCATTCGATTCTTCAAATCTTATTGTATATATCTGAATTTACATGTTCATTTAGATGTTCACTTTCGAAGCTTACAGTTTCTAAATATTTCAATCTCACTGCTTACATTTTGAAAGGGCTGTTTGATTGATAAAATACATTGATACTTGTAGAGATTGTTTATTGGTTTATTTGGTTTATATTATCTATTGAAATTCTAAATAAAATCTAATCAGTGTATTGTTAAGAGAAATCCCATATATATTACAGTGAATAAAACTGGTTAATTCTCTGAGAACCCATTACTCTAATCCAAATCAACTATTATGTTTTGAAAGAAATAACATTCAGTTGTCTGATAGTACCTTGTGTAAAACTCACACATATTCACAGTGAAAACAATGTATTTTCAGTTTTTTTGTACTTCACAAGCTGATAGTAGAATTTTGTAGGTTATTGTGGTGTTGTAATTATCATCTGGCAACATATACAAACCTTATCATATAGTCACATTTATCAACTGTCTAAATGAAATGTTGGATGCAGAAGAGAAGAGTTATGTTTTGACAATCATTTCAAAATTGTTTAATATTTTGAGTTGAAACTTTTAGAAAAGGCTAATTTCGGCATATTTGATTTGCATACTTACACAAATGTTTTCAGAAACCCTGTGCAAATGAAATATGTGTGCTGGATAAAGTTTGGGTTTAATATGGATTTTGTTGTTTGACCACTATCCATCACAAGCCACTAAATGAAATAATTTTAAAGGTATATTGATAGATTTATCTCTCATGTAATCCAATTAGCTATCTATTTACTATGTTCCACTTCTTAATTGAGTCTAGTTTGGTATTACTTTATTAAGTTAGCATATGGTTAAAGTATGATCTTGTCAATTAATAAAAATCCTTCACATACTCAATTCAATCAAATAACTTGAACCATATCAACAATACCAGGCCTGTACAATGAAGATTTGAAAAAAGAAGTCATCTCTGTGACAGTAGTGATATAAAGTGAACATGGTTAAGATGGTCAATAATTGCTTAACAACCAGTAATGTCATTGATTTTATTCTTCAATTTTTTTAAAGTGGTAGTTTGACTTATGTCACTGTCTACAGTGCTCATATAAGTTGTATGCTCCATAAGGCCAGGTAACAATATAATTTAAATATATTATTTATTTTATCTAACACACGTTTAGATGACAGCATTACTGTCTTGCAAAACAAATTCCTCCTTTTGTCTCAGTCATTAATTTAAATATATTCAGAAGAATTAATTCTTACACTGAACTAAAAATTACTCAAGATCTGTGGGTTTAAAAATAACGGTGATTCTTCTGCTAGGTTATCCAATAAATCAAATGACTATAAGATTACATGCTGCGTGAGAAAATGTTAAATTCAATTCAGAAACTTGTCCTGTACTTGATTTGACATCATTCTGGGATGAAATTGAGCAGAATGAATTGTGTCTAAATCATGTGCATCAAAAGAAAGACTTTGTCAGTAGATTATGGTGTACAAAACATAGAGGATGAAGAATGTAATGATAATGATTCATTTTTATAAGCCCACATTGAAATGTGATCGTATATTGTCGTCACCTCCGTCGTCCGTCTGGCAGGCGGTCCGGCATCTTCTGGACGCTCTAGAGGCTTAAGTTAATATCCGATTGATTTTAAATTTATACACAGTGTTTACGGTCATGAGACGAAGAAGGCTATTGATTTTCACCAATTTCCAATAATTACTGCCAGAGTTATGACCCTTGATCACTTTGAAATATCTTGTGGACACTCTAGAGGCTAAAGTTAATATCCAATTGGCTTTAAATTTATACATAGTGTTTATGGTCATCAGACGAAGAAACCTATCGATTTTCAATAATTACTGCCTGAGTTATGGCCCTTGATCACTTTGAAAAATCTTGTGGATGCACTAAAAGACCATAGTTATCATCTGATTGATTTTATAGTTATGCACCATGTTTACGCCTATATATAATCGTTTCGATTGACTTTAGGTTGATACACAGAGTTTAAGGTCTTGAGACGAACAAGTACATGTGTATTGATTTTCAATGATTTTTGATAACTTCAACAGCTAAATCCATGATACTAAATGTTTTGTATACTAAACGTTAGCATGGGCTAAACAAATTCCAACAACTCTTGTTGACTGCCCGGACGATTTAGTGGCTGTGGGTGTATGTTTCGTTGCCTGGCAACCTATCTTTATATATGATCATATATTGTTGTCAACTTCATCTATCGGTCTGCAGGTCTCTATGTTTGTCGTCCATAATTGCTTGTGGGAACTAAAGTTGTCGTCCAAATGAACAGAAATTTATTCACAGGCTAATTAGGTTTTTTTTTCGATAACTACTTCATGGGTTGTTACTTGTTACTTTTGATTATTTTTAAGAATAAAATGGTCTGCACATGTTTAATAATGTAGTCCGATCTGGAGTGACAGTAAAGATGACAGTATTCATCCTGTACATGTATATATTGTTATGTACTCTAACAATTGAAGTTAAGTATTTAAAGTAAATTGTACTTTAATTTATTAAAAACAAATTAAGTTTTACTTCTTTAGATCAAGTATTTTGTCTAGTTAGAACATAGGACTTCCACAGAAATTTCGTTGCTTCTTCCCATTATAAGTGGCAGAGCCAAAGGTGGGAACTAGCAAATTTGTTACTCTTTATCTATTTTACATGCTTCTTTTTTTTACTGAGAAGAGACTGACACTACCTTATAATAATTGTTATTAACTTCTGTTTCCCATCTAATTTCTGTCTTCCCAAAATCAGCAAAATAGTCTTCATGACATTTACAAGTGCCCCCATCAGTCTTTAGATTATTAAAAAATTAATTGATAAAAATTAGTTATTTATGTCATTGAGAAATTGAGAAAAATGCACCTATTGCAGCATTTTCACAATGTCAAAGTATTATGTCATACATTGATACATTTACTGTTTGAGTTGGCATTTTAGTATGGGTTACATTGGCCAATGATCTTTGTTCATTATTATCCTGCAACAATATTTTCTAGCAAATTGTACTAGGTCAGTCAAAGTATCCAATATCTTCCAATATATTTTACTGTATGAGAGCCTCAAACTCTTCCATTGTTTTTTGACTCTGTTAAGTTCCCTATGACACAATCAAAAGAAGAGTGATAATCATTTTACCAGTAAAAATATAAAAAAATTGTGATTTTGTCAGCAGATTTATAAATGTAATGTTATCTAGCTTAACAGGAATGCATACTTTTTCTTGTTCTGTGATAAAAATCTATCTAGGTGATATGTTTAACCTTCAGTAAATCATATTCTAACATCATGATATATATTATTATTATACATTTGTTAATACATGACATGACATGGTTTCTAAAACTGCGCAAAATCTCCAAGATACTCTTTAAACTAACATTTTACTTGCAACTATTGCATTAAAGTTTCACAACTCATGCCAATAGAGACATTTTGAAGTAGGCATATTCTTGTTTTTATAAACATTTATATATTTTTATGCCCAACATGTGAATGTTTTATAAAATATGAAATTAAAGCTTTTATTCTTTTTTTGATAATGACAGTTATACATCCATTCTTCATTTACAAGTTTATTTCTTTTATTCAGTGTTCTGAGATCTTGAAATAACATTCATGAATTCAAGTTATGCCTTGTTAGTAAATTTTAAATGTCACATTGGCTAAAGAATGTCATTTATGAGGTCATAAGAATAAAATATATGTACAATGTTTTGTTTTCACTTTATGTTTTTTGATTGTTTTGTTCAAAATCTGGTACATAGGCCTACATGTACTTGGTTTTCAGGGTCATACCTGCTACCAACACATGGATGTACCAATAATATGACCATGGTTTTCATTTCAATCATAAATGTAGGATTTATTGCCCTTGTGCCTTTGTTTTCATACAAGCCAGTCCATTCTTTATGAAGGATTTTTTTTTAATAATAATAATAATTTATTGTTTTCACTAATCAGTCACATATACATATCAATGGACTTTACAGAAAGAAAAACTGAATAGCTATAAAAATACTTCAAGGTTAAAAATTTGAGGCATAGTATTCTTTAAAAGTAAAATTTTTAGGGAACTTTTAAAAGATGCCAATGTGTCTATTGTGCAGGTGCTAGGCGGTAGCCTGTTCCAGAGAGTGGGTGCAGTGATAGAGAAAGAGTAGGATCCATAGAAGTCATACTCTGGTACATTTAGCCTAACCCCTCCTCCTTCGATCGTAGCCTGGCAAGTGTACCTCTGTGGAAACCAAGTGGTAATTAATTCTGAAAGATAGAGAGGTGCTTATTTGTGAAGACATTTATAAGGTAATATCATAATTTTTAATTTTATACGTTGACAGACAGGAAGCCAATGGAGTTTGTGTAAGATAGGGGTGATATGTTCGTGTAATCTAGTGCGGGAGACTAAACGGGTGGTGGAGTTTTTGAAGTATTTGTAGGAGATTAAGAGTGCTGTGCTTAGGCTTAAGGTTATAGAGAAGGCTGTTAAAAAAGTCAAGAAGGGAGGTGATTAAGGCGTGAACTAGTGATTCGGTGCATTTCCAATCTTAAAAATTTCTTATACACCCAATACAAAATAATGAATAGGATAATGATTACAAACTTTTGAAATATGGTCATTGTCATGATTAAAACCTAAATTACAGACAGCCGTGAAAGATTTAACTGGTGTGTCACCGACATTTAGAGTGTCTAAAATATTTATTTTTTCTTTTCTTTGAAATTTAGAGTAAAAATATAGTACCTCTGTCTTTTTATTGTTTAAAGTCAACTTGTTATCAACCATCCATGACCTAATTTTATTAATACATTTTTCTACACTGTGTATATTATTTGTTACAATTTTACACCTGAGGTAAAGTTGAGTATCATCAGCATAGAGCATTTAATCGAGGCAATTACATACAAAGATATCTTCTAAAGGGGCACAGTACAAAGTGAATAAAATCAGGCCTAAACACTTCCCTGAGGTACACCATATTTCAGTTCATTTACACAAACGTTTTGCGTCCTACCCCTCATATATGATTGTAATCAATTTAAAACAGTATTTGAAATATTAAAACGAGATTTAAGACGTGACAATAAAATATCATGATCAGCCGTGTCAAATGCAGCTGATAAATCTAAAAGAACCAGAACTACCCCTTACCATTGGATATTAAAATGTCATTATAAACTCTTACTAAAACCGTTTCAACACAGTGAAATTCACTGTATGCTGACTGGAAGTTTGAATACAACACAATAAATAATTATGCAACTGGTTAAAAACAACTTTCTCGATAACTTTACTCATAAAATGAATGTTTGATACCGATCTGTAATTGGAGAGTTCGTTTTGATCAAGCCCTGTCTTCTTAAGAAGAGGGCGAACTATTGCCTACTTAAATACGTCTGGAAAAACACCAGACTGGAGAGATGAGTTAACAACGGAAGTTACTTGAGAAATGAGGTAGTCAATACATATTTTAAGGAGAGATGTGGGAATGGGATCCAGTTCACATGATTTTGATTTCATAGTCGGAATAAGTTTTAACATTGATTCCTTATTTACCTGTTCAAAATGTGTAAAGGTTATATGTCGAGTTGATGTCATCTTCATTCGAGCAATGGAAGCATTCTCAAATTTTTGAGACTTTGTTTTCGAAAAAGCAAACGAAACTATCAGCCAGTTCTGCTTTTTGTCATCTGTCATTTCATCTACCAAATCAAAGAGCTTCTTGCTGTTATTTACTTCCAATATTTGATTACAGTGATACATTGTGCGGGCGTTGTCTAGCATTTGGATGTATTCGGTACGTTTGTGAAGGTAAATCTGTCTGTTCATTTCAAGTTTTTATCTTTTTCCATTTGCGTTCGAAATTGCAGAATACCATGGAGCACAAGGTCTGTCTATAAACGTTTTCTGACTTGCAGGGGCCAAAGTATCGATCATCATTTTAAGCTGATGGCAGTACACACTGGCTTGTTCATTGGCATCTTTGTCCATGAATGATGGGAGGGGATTTTCTGTGAAGTAGTGGGTCAGATTTTCACAATCAAGGGCCTTTATGTTTCTGGACATTCTGATCGCCTGTTTGTGCGGTGGTGCTGTCAGGTCCATGGAAAACTTGATAAGGCTGTGGTCAGATGGTAGCGTGTTATCCACAGACATGTCAAAAGGCAAATTTAATATGTTGTGTCAGTCCCATAGAGTGAATCAGGTCAAGCAATTTCTGGGCATCTCTATCATTACTGTCTTCAATATGAAAATTTAGGTCACAACAAATGGATAAATGCCCTACTGTTGTGTTGTGGTTTCAGAACTTCCTGGATGTTGATATCTTTGACAAGTTTCTAACATTCAAGATTGGTTTGGCTCTCCCGAACTCAACCGTATTGATGGGTTGCCTGAACTCACCTGTATAAGAGTTCTGATTAGCTGAAGTAGGTGGGGGAGGGGGGGTTAATACACATCAGAAATGGTCGCTTGTCTAGCAGACCAGTTGATTTTATGGGTATAATGGTCACTTGTCTAGCAGACCAGGTCATTTTATATATTTTATAGTTTTCTGATGGAGTTGTCGATGGTAGATTTTACTAGCCCTTATTTAACCATCCTTCATTTGGTCGATCACTTCAGTTGTGATCAGGGTCTCTAACAACTTAGAGAATTCTTCAAAGAACAGGTTTGATGTACATTTGTTCTTCTTCGAATATGGTCACCTATAAATGATCATCAGTCTTTGTAAGGCATTCCCAATTTTTATGGACAAATCGAGGCATTCAAACAATCTGCGATATTTAGTTGGATTTACTTTCGTATCAAGACAGCTAAGGGTGAAAGCTGCAACACCACCACCTTTACAACCATTTCGTGAACAGCTGGGAAAGTTATATCCAGATAGTGAAGACTGAAATTCACTGGAGATACATTTGTTTTTAACATCCGACAGCCATGTTTCCGACAAAACAGTTTTTATCTTAGTAGACACATTTTCAGAGTTCACCTTTAGCTCAGGATACAAGTCAAAGTCTAACAAACCACTCACATAATCTTTGTTATTGGTAAACTAAGTGACAGTTCATCCGTGATGTAAGAGATCATCATGAGTGCATGTTCACTTTTCTTAGTTAAACATAAAATATAGCCAGGCAAATTGTCCAAATACATCCAAAATAAAACATTTCTAGGTAAAAGTTTCTGTCAATTAAATCTATATACCTTTATACGGAACATATTAAAGAATTATCCAAAACAGTTCAATCCTAGTTCAGATTAAAAAAACAAGGTAGAGCAAGACACACAGCAACCTTGTTAAACGCCACATAAACGTAACTTATTTTTTACTTTTGAAGTAGGTATGGACAATCTGACAGTAGGTCACCACATACATGTGACAACAAGGTTACAAAAATATATTCCGCCTCTTTTTGTTTTTTGTCAGACTGGTTATTATTTTGCCAATAATTAGATAAGTTGTTTGGGCTTTGTAATGGTATCAATATTGATTTATCTATAAAAGGGATAATCCATTATAACTGAGTTTTGTTTTTATGCCTCTTTAAATTACTCAGCACAATAACCTGAGTGCCAAACATACCATATAAAACTGTATGTAATTATTCCTAACTGGCAATCAAAGACAAAAAGTACATAAAATTGAGATAATAATAAATGGACTTCCATAATGGGCAATTATCAAACCAATAGTACCCAGTAGCTGAGTTGTTTCAGATGTCACAAAAAGAGTAAAGCATAATCTGCTTTGCACATGACATTCATGACAAGTATAAAATCATATAAATACTATAGCATAGTGCATGAATTACGAGAAAGTAAGTATTACTGAAAATGAAAGAGATCATATCATCTTCTGTGTATTATTATTGTGGTTCACTAGTTTAGAAATGAAATGAAATGAAATGGAGTTTAACGTCCTACTGTTCTGCTCCAAACTGGGCTAATGAAGACGAGCATACGCCATACAGTGTGCTATGAGAGATATTTTGCCCGGACAGCGGCACTACGGCCTACTCTTATATGGAATTCCAACTGTTAAGGGATCTTTTACGTGCATGCTAATGTGTACACAGGACCTCGGTTTTTCGTCTCATCCGAACGACTAGACAGCTGTCCTTGTCAGGCCCTCGTCCTGCATCACTGACAAGGGGGAACCATGCTGGAAAATCTGGATGAACTTTCTCGGCCAATGCAGGGATCGAACACCCGACCTCCAGGCTAGCGAGCCAGTGTCTTACCCACTTAGCCACCGTGATCCCCCACTAGTTTAAAACTATTTGTAATGGCAAGTATTGTTTTTGTGAAAAAGGGTAAACGGATAATGTGTTTAATATGGTTTTCAATTTGTGGTGCAAAGAGTTAATAGAATCAAACAAATGAGGCAGAAATATGAATAAAATCAGATAGTGATATGAGTAAAATTAGATAGTGATATGAAATTAGATATAAATGAAATGGAAAGAGACAGTGATGTTTATATATATAAAATGTCATAGAGTAATGACAGCAAGTAGACCTATGATAATAGGAAGTGGTACCAGGTGTTCATCAACAGCTGAGCATACACTGCCTTGTATGTTTTGTTTTGCTAGTACATATTAACAGATTTATTTAGGACAAAGAAACATAGCTTCAAGTGTTAATACAGATCCTAAGGGATGGTGCCAATATTAGCTATACTATGGCACTAAATCTGTTACATCTCTTCAGTTCAGAGTTCAACGCCAACTACTTGCAACCACCCTACCACTCTTCCCCACATTTTAAAAAAAACAACAGATCTTTTGTTAAACCATTAAAAGCATAAAACTTGAAACTGCTAAACTTGTTTTAACTCGCAAGAATAAGTATCATATCGAACTTCAAAGGTCCGTACTGTGCCACTCCGGGAGCCCTGCACCTTAGCCAGCTGCTTAGTACTTGGCCTAATAGTAGAACCAGACCTGATCATTAGTATTAAAACTACTAGCTAAGGTATAATTATTATAGCTGAATACAACTAAAACACATTTCTCTATGGTTTATCCACATTCTCGCATCTAGGTTTCCATTTACAATATAATGTCATTGACGCTACATGATGATGACACACCATACAAAAGGGTTCCATGCACATAATTTTTGCTGGTAGATGTAAAGTTTGCCTGTACAGCTAGGGAGGTAGTATTTATACCCTCAGGTTGGGAAGATTCTCTATTGCTAGTTAATGAAAATGCACACAGTATTTATCAAAATAAAAGTACAAAGTGTAAGAATTTACCTGAAGTCTGTATAACATGTATATTTCCGTATCGATAGACCAGGACTAATGTATTTTGACTGGCAGTAGATCAATATATGTAAGCCATATTGTGAAATAACTGAATAGAATGTATTACAAAGAGGGTATATTATGTATATCACAGATAAAAATATATTACTTAATTCTTACTTACCTGAATTTATTAATTAGTAGCAAAATATCCCAGCAAGATTATTATATAAGCATGTAGAAATCTTGTAAACTTGTAGGGTTGATTAAGCAGTTACTGCTAACCATGTACAGCGTGTTAGAACATGGTAATATAAGTAATCTTCCAAAATCTAACTATAATACATATATTATAACGATTCATATTCATAACAGCTGTTGAAGGTCCATCATATTAAAAACATCAATGTAAAATATACCACATAAATATACACAATCCTAAACTGATAATAACAACAAAATCAAACCATTCATGCTGATGACAGTAGGACTAGTGATAACCAATATTATAGCCATAAGAACCATTGAACCGTGAACCATTCTGATATTTAATATTAATATAAGAGGCTAAGTTCAATAATTCATTCAAGGCTCACAAAAGAACAGATAACATATGCATTGTTTAAATGAACAAAGAAAAATGAAATATTAATCAATCAGAATAATTGCCTATATATGTTTTTTTTGTAGAATTAGATCAGGATGAAAAAGACCCAGACAATTATGTCAGTTAAAGAGCTTTTACAGATTAACTCTTTCGTTACTAGATTACGAATGCCCCAATCAGATTAATATCTAATCTAACTTTAATCTACAGCTAGTTCTAATTGTGAGGCACTTGAAGGGATTAAAATAAAACTTCTTACTAGTATACAACAGTAGGTATATCATATCCCATTTTTTGTACATGTCTTCTTTAACCATCTTATAACTCTCCCTTTCTTTTATAGTGCAAACAAGGCTTTATTTACTTCTTATTCAGTCCCCAATATCACCAAATTTCAGAGAAATATCTCTAAACTAGTTGGGTTTCAATTTCCGTGCAATATATCTTGGGATTTGTCATAATGATATTGTAAAATAAAATGTTACACAGAATGTTGAATAATACAATACACACATTCTAATAAGTAAATATTAACCTATTATTCTATCAAAATGAGATGATAAAGTCAAAGTTTCTTCGATAGGCATTTAGTAATTGAACATATTAACACAAGGTACAATTTTATGGATACACTATTTTGACGAAGATACTCTTATCTTTTTCAAGCAAATGATAAAGACCAGAGTATCCTTATCGAAAGTCACAGTAATTGTGTATCCATAAAATTGTACGGGTGTTAAAGTCAAAGTTCATTTGTATTTTTTATATATTACTTCAAAGGGTGGCAGGCTTATGTTAGATTCATTATGCTGAAATATGCTTTGTGCTTTATTCAGTTCTATTCAGTTTAAGAATTATTACAGAAGGTCATATAACCTCTGACCAGATTTACAATGGAAAGTTGTAGATAGATTCTAATATGTATATTCTGTAACTAAAAATGGAATGAAATGTAGTTTTATATCTATAGTATATAGTGTATATTTACTATGTATAATATTAACATATATGTTTCTATATTGGGGAATATAGGTACAGGGAATGGTTCCACAGATTAACACTATTTAAACAACCATTTTAAAAACATCGCTATTCCATATTATAACCCAGCATATAAATGCTGCATTAATTTTCTAAATGAGAAAATGATCTGTTATTATTGTACATTCTGTTTTAGCCAAAACTTGTGGAATTTATTCTGTCGATAAGGTACATTTTACAGCCATGACCAATATCCAACTCATTTTACTGATGGTGTTTACAGCTTTATACACCGGTGCTCATACCAATAATGGCACAATAATGATTGAATATATAAAAACAGCTTTTTAAAAAATTATAAGAATCAGGAGTTTAAAGGAAAAAAAACCAATTCCATTGCAATCTGGCATTTATTATCTTAAACAACACTTTGGAGATCTTCACTAAACAGTAAAAAAATATTTTCGATTTGTCTTGATTCCGGTTTTCAGATACCATATAAAATCTGAGCGTGATCTACCAATCCATTGTGGCTCATATACATTAGACATTAAGAGCCAATAGTAGTTTTGAAAACGATTGCAGGTTGCTCCTGGAAAATTCCTTGCTGCATTAAGGCGGGACAAAGGTTATCCCAAATATAACTTATATAAAATTTTTAAATGTGAATTTGAAAAGCTGAGAGGCTTATGATGAAGCTTCTAATCCCTTCATTTCACCCACAGGAAAAACAGAATAATATTATTGTGTACAAGTGAAAGCAATGTTTCTATGATATTTTTAGTAGTATAACCTTTTTGTAGAATATAAATAGAATACTAATAAAAACATGTAGCTTCATGCTTCTATAGAAATACCTGTTATATTATATAGTGTATGATTTATGAGCAGGGATTGCTAACGCTTAGCTTACATTCAAGCAAGAACATTGCCTTAGAGTTTCATTCATTTCATTCAGTCTTTAAAGGCAGATAATGTCTTCAGTTTATTATTTAATTTAAGCACATTAGTTTCTAATGAGAGAGAGAGAGAGAAACGGGGTTTAATGTCAACTCGACACAAACTAGGTCATTTCAGGACTAACATATGGTTTAATTTTATTTCAATAATTTGCTTGCGCGTAGGGGTCTTTAGCAGTGGGAAGAAACCGGAGGACCCGGAGAAAACCCACGAGGTTAGACAGGCAACCCTACTCCTTGTCACATACAATTGACTCAATGACAGACTTTATGGTACAGCGGCACGTGCTAACCATTCAGCTATGACATTCATATTAAACAGGTATTATGCCTTAGTCCTTAAATGTTATATAAACTATTAATAAAACATTTATTAACATGACAAGACCATAATCAACTCTTGATGCAATCTAAATAGATTTGAAATTCGATCTGCAGTTCAACGGCAGTTGAGGATTAACCTTAAAAATGGATAATCAAGACTTGTTTATTATCGTAACAACGGTAACAATGACAATCGAGGCTGCAGTGTTATTGAATTGCTCTGCTCAGAGTGAAGTAATTTTACTAAATTTTCAGCATAATTCCATTACATTATCTATTTTTTAACTATTATAGCAAGAACTGTCAGCTCTTTATCTATCTTCCACAATGCTGCTTTAAATAAAGAAAACTGTGACACTCTAAAAACAGTTGTCCAAGATATTGGTATTACCATCAAAAACTGTAAATTAGATTTTTTCATATGATAAAACAGTCTTTTTACATAAGTCATGAAATACTCTAAAATTCTAAGCTTTATTCCTGAAGACACTCTACAGAATGTTTTTTGTTTTTTTTTATATCAATATTTTCTTAAATATTTGTAATGCTTTTTGTAGTTTCAAAGACAGGTTAGTATAAAAAAAAATAATTAAACAATGGTATCCTACTTCATTGTCCTAGCAACAAAAATTACTGATCAATCTTCCCAAAAAGAACCATTTCTGTTAATTGGTTCTATACTTATTGTCCTTGCTCAAATTTGTTGAATCTTGTGACTACTCCAGCAACTTTTTTTTTAGCTGGTCAGCTTGAAAGCTATACACATTGCTCAGATTAGAAAGGTATGTGATGCAGAGACTACACTTGGATTGATATTAAACTAACATAGTTTTTGTCTGTTCACTTCCTATTTTCATTAACCAACTGCTAAGCAACTTCAAGTGTTAGACCCAGTATCCCACCCAACATCCATAGATTCCCTTTCCAGACTCACCTAATGCCAGGACAATTTTTTGTGAAGAAAACTTAAGAGTGTTTGAAACTTAATTGTAGTTAAAGTATAGAAATAAAGTTGGAAAATAACTTCATATTGCAAGGACAACTGACTCATCTCAAAATTGTCCTATCCCGATGTGTCCTGTCCTGACTGGGGGTACATTTGAGTTATTTAACCATGTGTTGATTTCACTAAAAGCCTACTTCAATTCAAATTATGATATTTCTACACCCCTTTCATCAGAATTATAGCCAAACTATGATTCATGCGACCAGTTAAATGTTTCATCATATTGAAGAGGTTAGTGAAAGGAACTCTTTTATTTAAAAAAAAAAAAAATACCTTATATGTGTATGGGGACTATTTTCGCCAAGGTCCTGTTACAGTCTTAATCCACCTCTGAAGATTCTCAGTTTCTAAAGCATTCTACATTGATTTGTAAAGAGAACACATGAATGGCATGCAGTTAGTTATTCAAGGCTGCATTCACATACCGTGGCAGTTCTCCATATTAGGCATATTAAAGCATGGACCTTATAATACATGATTAAAGTAATTGTATTTAAAATACAGATGTGACGTCATCCTTTGATGTTCAGGTACCATTATTTCCAATAATGTACGGGCAATTTGTCAATCGTACATTATCTATACGAGATGAAATATTGGACTTGCGTGACGTATTTCATTGAAAAGCACGTGCATGATGGTGTCTGTATTTTAAGTTGTTTGATGGTCTCGGGCTAAAGACATTGCAGAATATATTGAAACAACAGTCGGCTAACGCCTCGTGCAGTATCAATATATTACTTAATGTCTCACTCTCGATCATTAAACCATACATAATCTCTTTTTGACATGTAAATGAAATATTAACAATCATATTTAGTTTCAGGTGTCAGAAGTGACTTGACTTTAAGAAGTTATCTGTTCGTCAAATATGTAGCAACTATATCTCTTTGTAATTTTCAAAATGTCTGCTCAAGAGTTGAGTATGTAAACCTTGATATTGTGGAGAAGCTACTGTACCTTATTATTGTTTTGAGACCACATAATAATCTTCATATTGAACTTTTCTGGTTTCTAATTCCAGTAAGACTTTGCCCATATAAGACTTTTCTTGTTGTGGTCCTGTTTGCCCATATAAAAAACTAGTGATAATAAAACATTGTTATGGTTTTATGATTTTGTATTAAAATTGATTGAGAACTGTGACTGTTAATACTGTTGTGTGTGTAGCCACATGAAATAAGGCTTACAGTGGATTAAATACAACCAATAATCAATGTAACCTTGCTGTTTATCAAAGTTCATATCAATAAAAAGAACAATATTGAAAAATGGCACAAGTTTTTAGAACAAGTTTCTGATTTAGAGAGAGGGGGCCATAACCTATAAGGACAAGTATAGTTAATGAGATTAAAAGCAAACTTTTGTGGAATCTAAGTCTGCTGGTTCATAGTTTGTTTCATCTAATTTTGTATAAGTTATTAGGTATCAACAGTTTTG